TTTAGGAGATTTTACATATAAACAAAGAAATGTATTATTAATATTTTAATGCTTAGAAGAATATAATTTTGAAATAAGCCACAAAAATATATAAAAGCCATGTATTAGGGCTACTTGAAAAAAAAAATATTTTTTTTAATAAATCCACCCATTAAGGTTATTTGAAAAAAATATTTTTTTTAAAAAAATGCACGCCTTAGGTTTATTTGAAAATATTCACTACTTGTGAAGACCCTCGAAATTGTTTCAAAAAAAAAAAAATAATTAAATAAATCCTTGCGTAGTCTTTCAAATATAATTAAAACTAGTAAGGAAAATAGTAAAGTCGGACAAAGCCTACTATATGATACCCTTCACCACTTTGGGTATATTCAACAGATGAACCCTAAAAGACGTCGAATTTTGTAAAGTCAATTAACATGAAATTGGTTCTTTAAACATGTCATTCTGCAAGCAATACTAATTTGTTCATTTGGTTAGATATAGAGTTGCTTCTTACAATGGGACAAAAATTTTAAAAATTAATTATTACAGCAAATACAAATCGAACACCTGTTGATTACACTGTGCTACAAAATAACAAAATTTTTTTTCAGGGGTTCTAATGTACCAATTCTGTTTATTTGGAGTCTCTGGACCACGAAGATACCTTTGGTTTTTCTGGGTCACTTCGAAAATTTATTTTATAACGGTAAATATAGAGAAAAACGTGGTTTCATGGATTTTCAATTTAAAACTCGAATAACTTATTTACTTTTTAACAGATTTATATTATTCTTTTTTTTCTTTCGAAGAGTACAATTTTTCCTTTCAAACAAGATATATACTTGGTAAATCGGTTGAGGATTGGCTGAGTTACAGCGGTTGAAATGTGAAAAAATACGTATAAAATGACAAAATTTACCTTTCTTCGGGCTGTACGATGAAATTATGATATCAAGCCATATAAGTTTTATTCTATTACGGGGAAGAAAATTAAATTAGCTTTCGAAGATGATAAAAATCAGAAAAATCGGTTAAAAATGGATGACTTATACACATTTTTGTATTGATTCTATGCATATTCTCTAAAGGAAGTATGGGTCTGTATCTTTTCCTGTTATAAACCGTTATGTTTGCAACAGGCAAAAGGAAACGAGATAGACCCATAGTTCCTTTAGAGAATATGCATAGAATCAATACAAAAATGTGTATAAGTCATACATTTTTTAACCGATTTTTTTGATTTTTATCATTTTCGAAAGCTAATTTAATTTTCTTCCCCGTAATAAATAAAACTTATATGGCTTGATATCATAATTTCATCGTACAGCCCGAAGAAAGGTAAATTTTGTCATTTTATACGTATTTTTTCACATTTCAACCGCTGTAACTCAGCCAATCCTCAACCGATTTACCAAGTATATATCTTGTTTGAAAGGAAAAATTGTACTCTTCGAAAGAAAAAAAAAGAATAATATAAATCTGTTGAAAAGTAAATAAGTTATTCGAGTTTTAAATTGAAAATCCATGAAACCAGGTTTTTCTCTATATTTACCGTTATAAAATAAATTTTCGAAGTGACCCAGAAAAACCAAAGGTATTTTCGTGGTCCAGGGGCTCCAACTAAACATATTTGGTACATTAGAAGCATTGAAAAATGTTCGTGTCGCACAGTGTTATTAGTATAAATATCGGATAAACATGAGGAGTATGGTGCATTATTTACTTAAAATCGGACGCAAATATATTCGTAAAAGCTATATCGAAATCTAAATAAATTTCATAAAATCGGAGAAAAATATATATAGGAGCTATAACTAAATCTAAACCGAAACTAAGCACACATCATTCTAGACCTCACCCAGTACGCTATGCCAAATTTCGTGCAAATCGAGGGATATATAGGGACTTTGGAGTCCCATTTACCTTAGATCGGACGGAAATATATATGGGAGCTATATATAAATCTGACCCGATTTTCTCGAAACTTGGAACACGTCATTCTGGAACTATTTCAGTACTCTATGCCAAATTTCGTGCAAATCGAAAGATATATATGGACCTCGGTGCACCATTTACATAAAATCGGACAAAACTATATATGGGAGCTATATCTAAATCTGAACCGATTTTTACGAAACTTAACACACATCATTCTAGACTCAGTTCAATACGCTTTGCGAAAATTCGCGCAAATCGGATGATTTTCAGGGACTTTGGTCTACCATTTACCTAAAATCGGGCGAAACCATGTGTGGGAGGTATATCTAAATCTGAACCGATTTTCACCAATTTCAATAGAGTTCGTCCTTGGGCAAAATAAATGAGCTGTACCAAATTTCGTCCAATTCGAATCAAAAATGCGACCTGTACTTTATTTACAATTTAACATGGACAAACCGACGGACCGACATGCATACCATTTAGTGCTCTTCATACGCATTAGCACTATTTCCCGAAATCTCTTTCTTATTTCCATTACACAGATTTAGAATAGATCAGTATTCCAATTATATATTTACGTACAGGTTCCACATTTAGTACTTTTCGAACACATAAGTACATATTTTCAAGACTACCTCCGTACCACCACACTTTAGTACTTCCTTCTAACTCTCCGTCAGTGACACACATTCAAAATTTTAGGTTTCCAGCTCTTCCCGTTCGTCTAATACAAAGGATACCATATTTGGTACATTTTAGTACTTTTCGTAGCCTTCTAGTTCAAACTTCCAAAAATCCAGGCTTATCTCACGCCTACACATCAACTCCAAAGGCTCACCCACAATTCAAATTGTACCGTTTTTCCAAATCTTCCTACATACCCCAATCCTACACCTCCACAGTTATCCTAAAACAAAATTTCAGGATTGCAACAGTACCGCTTCACCCACAATTCAAATTGTACCAATTTTAGTACACATTAGTACAAATTCCTAAAACTTTGTACATATCTTAATCTCAAACCAAAACAGAGATCCTGACTCCAAATTTCATGATTCTAGCCCTATTGGTTCACTTAATATTGAAATTGTATCAAATTTAGTACCATTTAGTAACCATAAGTATTCATTTCTTAAACTGAATCCTTACCCCAATCCTACACCCAAACAGTAATCCTGACTCCTAACTTCATTGTTCCAGCTCTATCGGTTCATCCAAATTGTACAAATTATAGTACAATATAGTACTTTTCGTACACATAAGTAAACAATTTCTAAAATTACGTACATATCCCAATCCTACACTCCGACGGTAATGTTAATTTCAATTTTCAGGATTTCAGGTCGATTTGTACCTCCAAATCACATTTGTACCAAATATAGTACCATATAGTACTTTTCGTACACATGAGTACACGCTTTCAAAACCAACTCTTTATATCGACCCTAATTCGCTTTCCAAACTTCAAATTTTTAGCTCTTTCCATTCACATGCTACGAAATTGTACCAAATTTAGTACATTTTAGTACTTTTCGGATACTTATAGTTCGAATTTCCAAAAAAAATCCTTTGCTACAGCTATTCTACACTCTATCAGTGACCCTCAAGAGTTCTAGCTCTACCGGTTCGCCAAATACAAATGGTATCACATTTAGTAGTTTCGTACCTTTGGACCAAGAGTGATCCTCTGTACGAACATTTGGACCAAGAGTGATCCTCGCCTAAATTTCAAGATTCTAGCTTCATCCGTTTCGTCTGGGGGTTGGTGAATCGTTAAGTCAGTCCATCAGTCCGTCAATCACTTTACTCTTTTATTAGCATAGATAGATAAAACATTCAATAAGACTTCTTAGATGATCCTTCCAAAGCCTTGTGTGCCTTTTCTCAGGACGTCTATGCCTTGAACGACCTTTTAAATTCCCTCCTCATTATATAGAGGTCCCATATTAGTGAGAAGATTTTCCTTTCCAAGTATTCTAGGACTTAGAGACCTGATGTCTTACAGGATACATATGATCCTCTTGATAAGGATTCCTTAAAAAAATAATTTTTTAAACAAAAATCCGAGCCTTATTTTTATTGTTGGTCCTTAAAAATAATTTTTTTTAAAAAATCCACTCCTTTGGTAGGTCCTTAAAATTTTTTTATATAAAAATTTATTATTTTTATTAACAAATAAATTAATAATTATTTTTATTGTTCCCTGTTTTTTCTTTTCAGAACCACCCATTCGAAACCCGCAACCCACCCACGTGCCGTATTCGAAATTCAAATTAGACAGGAATCCAGCTAGTAAACAAACAATTAACATCCTGAATAACAACAGCAACAACAACTACAATAACCATAATAATCGTAATAACAATCATAACGACAAACTGGCCGGCTGGGGTTTTCGAGATAAATGAAAAAAACAGAACAACAACAACAAATCTCAGAAACAGCAACAACACCACTTATACCCCTGGTGAATAAATAATAGGACTTAAGGCATCGGGAAAATAATAAAAAAGGAAGGCAGGCAGGCGAGCAAAGGCAAGGCGAGAGAAAGAAAAAAGGCCACAAGCAGGACAACTACAAGGCGAAGAACAACAACAACGATAAAAATAACGTTAATAACAACAATAAAGAAGAAGAAGGAAAACAACAACAACTAAAACAAAAGGAACATAATAAAATTAATTTCTTAAGCTTAGCTTCGAGGGCTATAGAGAGGTCCTGGAGGCCTTTTGACACGAAGGATAAAGGATAAGCCAAAGAAAAGGTTAGACAACAAAGGAAAGAGGTTAGTGAACCTTTAAAAAAAATAAAGGATTCGGAATAAAGGCCAAAGGCCACTAACATATTCCTTGGATTGTAAAAATAGCGGTTATACCCTTAACCTCTTGAAAAATGCTAACAATGAGGCTGAGAGGACCTGTATAACCTGAGGAAGGCCTAACAAAAATTTTGAAATTTCTTGACTAGCCCCCTGAAATATTAGCAGCAGAACCTTAAGTGGCTGGTAGCTGGAAATCCATAGTCTGCACCTCCTCTTGTCCACCCCACCAACCCCCTTTGGACCATTTACAAAGATGCCAAATTTAACCTTAACCACCCCTGCCTCCCTAATGGCAGCTGCCACCTGGTCCGCCATGGTGGCCCAAAAACCCAATGCCTCAGATATGGCCTATCACTCATATAATCACACAGTGCTACATAATGAACCAGGTCATCATCATCCGGTATTGGATCTAATGCCCTCGTCGTCGGCCCATACCACCTCCGAACCAGCCATACAAATACCACGGGAACGTGATGATCTGATAGAAAATAATTTTGTGCAAATTTTCTTCTGTATCCTCTATACGACGGTGTTTATCCTCGGGGTCTTCGGAAATGTCCTGGTGTGCTATGTGGTCCTGCGGAATCGTGCCATGCAAACAGTGACGAATATTTTCATAACCAATTTGGCTTTATCGGATATTTTGTTGTGTATCCTGGCGGTACCCTTTACACCGTTGTATACCTTTATGGGGCGATGGGCCTTTGGCAGAACCCTGTGCCACTTGGTGTCCTTTGCCCAGGGTTGCAGTATTTATATCTCCACGTTGACCCTAACCTCCATAGCAATTGATCGATATTTTGTCATAATCTACCCCTTTCATCCTCGCATGAAAATGTCCACCTGTATAGCCATCGTGATAAGTATATGGGTCATATCGCTGCTGGCCACCCTGCCATATGGTATGTACGTAAAGGTGGTCAATGATTATGGGAATATGACGGAGGATTATCTGGCAGGGAATGCTACACAATTTAATTTCAACAGCAGTTCCAGTTCGAATTCCGCAGCCACCGCCGCTGCAGCTGCTGTTGTGGCCTCTTTGTCCTCCTCCTCACCCACGGTGCCGCTAAATGTCTCCTATTCACCACAACGGAACTATGATGCTTATATGCAAATTGTATCCTCATCCTCGGCCGCTTCGACAGCGAGTATGGCGGAATCGGACATGCCCAGCAGTTCCATAAGCTATTGTGAGGAGGATTGGCCCACGGAGCGATATCGTAAGGTTTTCGGCTCCGTCACGACAATTTTGCAATTTGTCCTACCCTTCATCATCATCTCCATTTGCTACATATGGATTTCCTTTAAGCTGAATGCCCGAGCAAAGGCCAAACCTGGCTCAAAATCATCACGCAAAGAAGAAGCCGATCGTGATCGCAAGAAACGTACCAATCGCATGCTAATCGCCATGGTGGGGGTATTTGGCCTCTCCTGGCTTCCTCTGAACGTGGTCAACATTTTCGATGACTTCTATGAAAAATCGAATGAATGGCGTTTCTATACCCTGTTCTTTTTTGTGGCCCATTCCATTGCCATGTCATCGACGTGTTACAACCCCTTCCTCTATGCCTGGCTGAATGAGAATTTCCGCAAGGAATTTAAACATGTACTGCCCTGTTTTAATCCCTCCAATAATAATATTATCAATATTACCCGAGGCTATAATCGTTCGGATCGTAATACCTGTGGCCCTAGATTGCATCACGGCAATGGTGGCGCCGCCACCCGGGGCAGCAGCCTTGAAAATGATGATCATGATGATGGTAATGCCATAACGCAGGATACCACCCTTACACACCCTAAGGATAAGCTGTTGATAATACCGCGAGAGCCGACCTATGGTAATGGTCATAATGCTTTGTCACCCTGCCTGGATCGTGGTGTCAATGTGGCCCTTGTGCAGTGTAGTAAGCAAGTGGAAATTCTGCTGAATGACAATGACATACGGAATCATCGTTACGATGACTTCGATAATGAATCGTGTGAGGAGCAGACGATTGAAATGCGTTTCAATGAGACCCCCTTCATTAGTTCGGATAACAATACGACGATCAGTATTATGGAGACGAGCACTAGCTGTGATCGCAGTGGTGGTGGTAGCAGTGAGCGGATGCAACGAAGTAACTGAGGAAGGGTGAGTAGAGAAAAAATTAAAAAAACACATAGAATAGGTTTTCAGGGTCTTGAAAATAGGCCTTTTATTTGATCGGAGTACCTTAAAAATAGTTTTGGAGGTCCTTAAAAATATTTTTCAAAAAATCCACGCCTTGTTGGAGGTCCTTAAAAATATTTTTCAAAAAATCCACGCCTTGTTGGAGGTCCATAAAAATATTTTTTTAAAGATCTACGCCTTGTTGGAGGTCCTTAAAAATATTTTTTTTAAAAATCCACGCCTTGTTGGAGGTCCTTAAAAATATCCACGCCTTGTTGGAGGTCCATAAAAATATTTTTTTAAAGATCCACCCCTTGTTGGAGGTCCTTAAAAATATCTACGCCTTGTTGTAGGTCCTTAAAAATATTTTTTAAAAAATCCACGCCTTGTTGTAGGTCCTTAAAAATATTTTTTAAAGATCCACTCCTTGTTGGAGGTCCTTAAAAATATCCACGCCTTGTCGGAGGTCCTTAAAAATATCCACGTCTTGTCGGAGGTCCTTAAAAATATTTTTTAAAAAATCCACGCCTTGTTGTAGGTCCTTAAAAAGTATTTTTTTAAAAATCCACGCCTTGTTGTAGGTCCTTAAAAATATTTTTTAAAAAATCCACGCCTTGTTGTAGGTCCTTAAAAATATTTTTTTAAAAATCCACGCCTTGTTGTAGGTCCTTAAAAATATTTTTTAAAAAATCCACGCCTTGTTGTAGGTCTCTAAAAATATTTTTTTTTAAAATCCACGCCTTGTTGTAGGTCCTTAAAAATATTTTTTTAAAAATCCACGCCTTGTTGTAGGTCTTTAAAAATATTTTTTTAAAAATCCACGCCTTGTTGTAGGTCCTTAAAAATATTTTTTAAAAAATCCACGCCTTGTTGTAGGACCTTAAAAATATTTTTTTAAAAATCCACGCCTTGTTGGAGGTCCTTAAAAATATTTTTCAAAAAATCCACGCCTTGTTGGAGGTCCTTAAAAATATTTTTCAAAAAATCCACGCTTTGTTGGAGGTCCTTAAAAAAATATTTTTCAAAAAATCCACGCCTTGTTGGAGGTCCTTAAAATATTTTTTTAAAGATCCACGCCTTGTTGGAGGTCCTTACAAATATCCACGCCTTGTCGGAGGTCCTTAAAAATATCCACGTCTTGTCGGAGGTCCTTAAAAATATTTTTTTAAAAATCCACGCCTTGTTGGAGGTCCTTAAAAATATTTTTCAAAAAATCCACGCCTTGTTGGAGGCCCTTAAAAATATTTTTTTAAAAATCCACGCCTTGTTGTAGGTCCATAAAAATATTTTTTTTAAAAATCCACGCCTTGTTGTAGGTCCTTAAAAATATCTTTTTTTAAAAATCCACGCCTTGTTGTAGGTCTTTAAAAATATTTTTTTTTAAAAATCCACGCCTTGTTGTAGGTCCATAAAAATATTTTTTTAAAAATCCACGCCTTGTTGTAGGTCTTTAAAAATATTTTTTTTTAAAAATCCACGCCTTGTTGTAGGTCCATAAAAATATTTTTTTAAAAATCCACGCCTTGTTGTAGGTCTTTAAAAATATTTTTTTTTAAAAATTCCACGCCTAGAGGTCCTTAAAAAATCACCGCCTAGAGGTCCTTAAAAATATTTTTTTAAAAAATCCACGCCTAGAGGTCCTTAAAAATATTTTTTTAAAAAATCCACGCCTAGAGGTCCTTAAAAATATTTTTTTAAAAAATCCACGCCTAGAGGTCCTTAAAAATATTTTTTTAAAAAATCCACGCCTTGTTGGAGGTCCTTAAAAAAAAAATCCATTTTATAGGTCCTTAAAAAATTTTTTAAAAAATCCACGCCTTGTTGGAGGTCCTTAAAAATATTCTTTTAAAAAATCCTAGCCTTGTTGGAGGTCCTTAAAAGTATTTTTAAATCCACTTGAATGACTTCGTAAGTTTTTCAAATTTTTTATTTCCACTTTCCGAAAGGTCAGATATCAAATGTTGCGGCGTAAAACTATTCGCCGTTAATTAAAAAAATACCTCCGCACCAAAAGTTTCAATAACAATTCCGAACAAAAAAATCCGAATCACAGCAAATGACCTTCTCCAACAATTTTTAAGTAACTCTTAGAACAAAGCTGAACAGATAGCAGATAAGTTGTGGCATAGGTTGGTGCTATATCTACTCCCACATGTCCTGCGAGAGATTTGTTGGTACATCTGCAGTCTCCAAAGGAAACTGATGCGGGGAATTGTGTTTTGTTTCGTAATATTTTGTTGGTGGCATTGTTGTTGTGCATAGCTTGTGATGCACTTGGGAAATAATTTTTTTTCGGCCAGGGATTTTTATCCCTCGCCAACTCCCTCCTGTATCCTCCCTTCCAATGTATGCAATATATGCATCCTTAGTAGTGGCAGCTTAAAAATGCAGCTGCATTTGATGGCGTTTTATGCTAAACGTGATCGAAATTTAAGTGAGCTTTAAGTGCTCATTCTCTCCGAAAAACAAAACTGTTACTAATGCAGTTCGGCAACAAGTTCCAGGGACTAAGGATGCATGGATGCCAAAATAGATTGCCACAATGTGGCGAAGTGGATTTGTAGCAATGTTATGTGTGTGAACATTGGAAAAGAGGAGGGTGGTGAATCTACGAAATTCTGTACACAATTTTGTTAGTTACAGCTGCAAATGAAATATGAGGCAATAATAAATCAGAATTTTTTTATTTATTTTTTTGCTCGTTGGATATGAAGTCGTAACACATTCCATACCGAAGTAGTTATGATGGTTTTACAGATAAATATTTGTTCACATCTTTTGTGGGTATATTCCCCTACTACCTCATATAGCCTTTTGTCAGGTTACTTACATTCATAGGTAGTTAGGTAGTGGAGAACCCAAATAAAACCAGTAGGGAAAGGATCTTAGTCGGACGGGTTGGGCTTTATGGTACCTTACACCGTAATGGGTATATATAGGAGAGGGCTCCTAAGATTCGTATTGTAACCTACAGTCATTCTAGGATCTTTTTGAGAAAATCCGTATAAATCGAAAAAAACGTTGGAGCTGTGGATACCTCTTTTTAAAAATCGACCGAACACTTATAGGGAAGCTATATCTAAATCTGAACCGATTTCAATGGAATTTAACACACCCAATCCCGGGCTCAATTTGGTAGACTGTGCAAAATTTCATCAAAATCGAACAAACATTGGTCGTTTGGGGCCCAATTTATGTGAAATCGGACGAAGTTATATTGGGGAGCTATATCAAAAACTTAATCGATTTCAACGAAACTCAACATACACCATTTTATCCTCAATTCGGTAGTCTATGTTAAATTTCGTGTCAATCGGTTACACGTAGTGTCTTTGGTGCACTATTTACGCGAAATCGGACGAACTATATTGAAATTTGAATGGGAACTATATCGAAATCTGAATCGATTTTAAACGAAATTTAGTACATATCATTCTGGGCTCAATTCAGGAGGCTTTGCAAAATTTAGTCCGGATCAATTTACTTTAAATCGGACGAAGTTATATATGGGAGCTATATCGAAATCTGAACCGATTTCAATCAAATTTAACATACGTGGGTCTAGAGCCAATTTAGTAAGCTGTGCCAAATGCCGTCCCGATCGAACAAATTTTTTACAATTTGTACCCAATTTTTCAAAAATCGGACGAAGTTATATATGAGATCTATATCTAAATCTGAACCGATTTCAATGAAACTTAGCACACATTGTCCTATACCCAGTTTGGTTCACTGTACAAAATTTCGTGTCATTCGGCCAACAATTGGAAATTTGGTGCACCATTTATCTCAAATCGGACGAAGTTATATATGGCAGCTATATCGAAATCTGAACCGATTTCAATAAAATTTGACATACGTCAATCTAGAGCCAATTTAACGCGCTGTGCCAAATTTCGTCCCGATCGAACAAATGTTCTAGACTTTTTACCAAATTTTTCAAAAATCGGAGAAAAATATATATGGGAGCTATATATAAATCTGGACCGATTTCAACGAAGCTTAACACACATTATTCTAGACTCAGTTTGGTTCACTATGCAAAATTTCGTATCAATCGGCCGAAAGTTTTAAGTTTGATGAACCATTTATCTGAAATCGGACGAAAATATATATGGGAGCTATATCGAAATTTGAACCGATTTTAACGAAATTTAATACATATCATTCTAGGCTCAATTCGGAAGACTTTGCAAAATTTCGTCCCGATTGAACAAATTTTAGGTATTTAGAATCCTTTTTACTTAAAATCGGACGAAGTTATATATGGGGGCTATATCGATATCTGAACCGATTTCAACAAAATTCAATATACTTCCTTCTAGGCTCAATTTAGCACGCTGTGCAAAATTTCATCTCAATCGGGTATAAATTGCGAGTTTGGTGCACCATTTACATCGAATCGGACGAAGTTATATATGGAAGCTATATCTAAATCTGAACAGATGTTAATGAAATTTAATATGTATAATTATAGGCTCAATTTAGGAGGCTGTGTAAAGTTTCGTCCCGATCAAACGTATTTTGGGTATTTGGTGCCCAATTTACTTAAAATCGGTCGAAATTATATATGGGGGCTATATCAAAATCTGAATCGATTCCAATGAAAATTAACAAACGTCATCCTAGATTTAATTCAGTACGCTGTGCAAAATTTCGAGACAATCGGTCGAAATTTCGAATATTGGTGCAAAATTTATCGAAAATCGGACGAAAATATATATATATGGGAGCTATATCGAAATCTGAACCGATTTGGACGAAACTCATCACACGTCATTTTAGGCGCCATTTGGTAGCCTATGCTAAATATCGTGTCAATCTGTCACACGTAGTGTCTTTGATGCACCATTTACTAGAAATCGGACCAATATATATGTAGGAGCTATATCGAAATCTGAACCGATTTCAATCAAATTTAACATACATCAGTCTAGACCCTGTTTTTAAGCTGTGCAAATTTTCGAGGTAATAGG